GTGATCTTCCGCACCCAGCTGTGAGTACCCCGTGGCTGGGGCAGTGCCGCGTCCCAAGGGCAGGGGAAGCCCATGGTGACCTCAGCCCCTTGCTCTGCTTCCCACAGCCCCCACTACTCCATCCTGGGACGCATCCCTGACACCGATGTCTACAGGGACGTGGCTGAATACCAGATGGTAACAGCACCAGGGGGTGGGAGAAGAACCGCCTGCAATGGGGGGTGGGGTGCAGTTCAAAGCACCCCCAGGGGCTGTTCACTGGGGAAAGGAGCAGGGCACATTTGGGGGGAGGGAGGGAAAGGGAGCCAGGGACTCTGTCCCTGGGGTAGCACTCTCCCCATCTGCCCCCAGGCACAGGAGGTCCCGGGTGTGAAGATCTTCTGCTCCTCCTCCACCCTCTATTTTGCCAATGTGGAGCTGTACGCTGAGGCCCTAAAGAAGAAGGTAGGAGAGCCGCCAGCCTCCTGGTGCCCCCCGCCTGTTGGCACCAGGGTGGCAATGGGGCACTTGGGGACATGGGGCTGCGTTATTTTGCAGAGCGGTATCAACGTGGACCGCCTGATCGAGAAGAAGAAGAAGGCCCTAAAGAAGCTGAAGAAACAGCAGAAGAAACTGGAGAAGGAGAAGGCAAAGAGGAAAAAGGTGCTTGCTTGTTGCTGGGGACACCTTCGGTGCCCCCTTGCACTGCCTCCCTGCCTGGCCCTGGCCCTCCTGCCCATGCATCGCTGGGCTCGGTGGCCTGTGGGGCTCTGGGTTCAGTCTGGGTGAGAAGAGGCACTGGGGCAGAGCCGGGCCATGGCGTCATACCCAAGGTTGCAGGGAAAGCCAGGCTGTTAATGATTAGGTGGTGGAGCCAGTGAGTCATTAGCCATTTGGCGAGTTAATGAATGAAGAGCAAGAGTGGAGGCTGACCTGGCACCCGCTAATGATCCCAGCTCTGGCGAGGGTCATTGTGGAGACGGGTGGGTCTCGGCACATCTGGAAAGAGCCCAAAAGTGGGTGAAGGTGCGAGCGAGTCATCCACTGCCAGGGCCACCCACTACTGCCCATGCCCCACCGCAGCCAAGGAGCCTTGACAAGCCCTACTGCGCTACAGGGAGGGACACTGCCCAGCCAGGGGTGCCACCAGCCTCCGTGCAGTGAGGCCGGGTCTCCTTCCCTCCCCCAGGACATGGAGGATGGGCACAATGGTCCGGGTGTGGCGGTGATTGAGCTGAGCCAGGCGGAGGGTGGTGCCCCCCCCAAGCCCACCCTGCGCAGTCTGGGGCTGCCCCAGCCCAGCTTCCACGCCGTTGTCTTGGACTTCAGCCCTGTCAGTTTCGTGGACACCGTCTCCATCAAGATCCTGAAGAATGTAAGGAGCCAGGGAGCGGGCAAGCCAGCAGCCTTGCCAAGGGGTTCCCCAGGGCCCTGCAGGGCGGCCCAATGGCTGCTGCCTGAGGCTCTTCCCAGGCAAAATGTTTTCTGACATTTGCAGATCTTCAGGGATTTCCATGAGATAGAAGTGGACGTCTTCATTGCCGGCTGCCCGGGTGAGGAGGCTCTGCAGAGCCATCAGCCCCTGCCAGGCATGCCCACCCCTGTGGGACACAGCTGCAGCCCTGGGGCTCCCTCCATGGTGTCCCCATCCCCAGGGTTTCCCCAGGGGACAGGTGCTGCAGGCTGTCCTGTGGACCCAGTCTGAGACTCGCAGCCGCCAGCGAGGCAGATGGATCACTGGTGATGGCCCCAGTGTCCCCTGCAGTGCAGGGGAAGGGAGGCTGCTCTGGGTGGGGGGTGGGGGGCTCAGACAGGTGCCATAGCTTCGGATGTTTCTTCCTCCACACAGTGCCCGTCCTCGCCCAGCTGGAGCGGGGCAACTTCTTCAGCTCGGCCATCACCAAGCACTCCTTCTTCCCCTCGGTGAATGCCGCTGTGGCCCACATCAGCGGGGAGCAACGCTGGGCCTCAGTAAGCACCCATCCTCACCATCCCTATCACTATCATGGAGGGGGGCAACCAAGCCAAGCCCTCCCTGTCTGTCCCACTTAGGTGGACCTCAGCACTAGAATGTAGCCCCGCAAGAGGAAGACGTCTCCCCGAGGAGCTGGGCAGAGAGGACTTTGCCACCCTGATGGCACCAGCTCACCCACCCTGGGGCCCAGAGGCCTTGTACCCCCACCAGCCCCTCCGGACTCTGAGAGCTGGGGCCCTGCCCTGGCCGTGAGCTCCCCTTGCGATGGAGCGGCTGCAGGTCATCATACGGAGGTGCCCGCTCGGCGCCACCGCTCAGCCCCGGCAGGGGCCTGTCCCACCGGGCCGGGCCTTGGTTTGGGGGGTGGTGGAAGGGCCCCCGGACCCACCCAAGGGGGGCCCGCTCCCGGCAGCGGGTTGGCGTCGCGGATAAAACAGTGTAGCGTTTCTCAGGCTTCGTTTTAATGCACTTTCCTCAATAAAGGCGACTTTAAAGGCTGCACCCTGCCAT